CAGATACCAGGAATAAGCACTGATATTTCAGACATGGACATGAATGAACCAGAGAGAAAGAAGAAAAAACTCGAAAGATAGCTGCGTACAACAAAAAAAAACCTTCAAAGATTTAGTCTGCTTGTTGTTGGTTTCAGCCTAAGTTTGTATTGTCGTTTGTTATTTTAAAGTACATTTTCACAATTAAAAAAAAAAAAGAAAAGAAATCATATTTATGTTGTATGCAAACTTTGTAAGCAAACAAATATAAAATAATTTTTAAATAGTAAAATTTAAATGAGAATAAATGCCCTTCCCTGAATTTCTTTGAGAAGAATTTGTAGTAACATGCTACTTGCCTTATGTGTTAAGCTAACCAGCTTCTATTGAAAGCTTTTTATTTAAAGGAGCTCAGGTGCCTTCACTGACATTGATGAAGAGCACCTTGAACTATGACTTTGCCAGGAAAATTTTTTTTCTATTGCTGTGAGCCCATACTGCAGATCATAATATAGTTTATACCATAGTCACACTGTTGACCACAGTGATTCCGCACATATATTAGTATTTTTTTTCCTCTCTGAATGGACTCCGTTTCTACGTCTACTTTGAAGGAAAGCTATTGTGTGCACACTACATTGAGCATCCCTTCTATGAGGCCAAGGTTCCTTGGAAAGCATGAACAAATACTAAATTAGTTTCTTTGAAGACATAAGTCAGGGCTGACAGCGCAGGGCTATGAACAAAGAAGGACAGAAAACCCTTGTAGGATAATCCAACAAGTCTTTTGACTTTTGGATGTACCTCGTATTTGATCCCACTGGACATTTGGGGACAGGGGAGGGGGCTCATGAAATATGTCTCTGAGTACTCTCTCTGGGAGAAAAGAAGAAATCCCAACTGCCCACCAATTTCCAGCCTCCATTGATTGGTCAAGTGTTGTTGTTGTTGTTAGGTGCCATTGAGTCAACCACAACCTTGTGAACAGCAGGCCTGAACCTTGTCCTGTCCTATGGAGTCTTCACCATCCTTGCTGAACTCGAACCCATTGCTCTAGTCACTGGGTCAATCTATGTCATAGAGGATCTTCCTCACTTCCACTTAGCATCCACACTTGTGGCCCATGAGTACTGGACTCTCCTAACAATATGCCCAAATTATGTGAGGCAAAGTTTCATCTTCCTTCCCTCTAAGAAGCATATTGGCTGTCCTCTCTTTAAGACATATTTGGTTTTTCTTTTGGCAGTCCACGGATATTCAGTACTCTTCCATAACACTAAAACTCAAAGGTACCCATTCTTCTGCTGTCTTCTTTAGTCAAAGCTCTCAGAAGCATAGGAAGCAACTGAAAAGCTCGTGGCTTGAATCTAGCTGTCTATTAACTTCCCAGCATGTCCAGGTTTCATGTGCCTCAGTCCGTCCAATTGGGTCTCCTCTCAAGACAACAAAGAAGTTCCCAGACCCCCTAGTATACAGACAAAGTGCTGTTCAGCTTACATCTGAGCAAAACCGGCCCACGGGTTCAGCTTGGGTCAGTGCTTACTCAGGGAGTGTTCCAGAATTATTATTATTATTTTATTTTTATTTTTACTACTACAGGAGGAGCATAGGAAGGTGGACTGATTGGAGAGATGGAGGATGAGAGGATTCCTTTTAGATGGTTGAAGTTTGTGATAGAGATTACAGAGGAGGTAACTACAATTTTCCCAGCACCAGCCTTTAGCACTATTATTGTGCTCACCTGAGGTCCACTGTACCATGGTTCAGGTGTCCATCAAGAGTGAGGTGTGCAGGGAAGGGTGTCCTTGTGAACTTACAAAGACGTGTTGACTCCCTGTGGCGTCCATGGTGTATGCCTGTAGTGGGAACAGTGACTAACTCTGGAGCTAAAACAAAATGAAACCAGCACAAAAACTTCCAGCTAGAAACATGCAGTTCACATTCTACTCGCCAAGCAAAGCCATCTGTCCTGTTCTTCCCACTTCTGGAGTACAGTCTGACTTCTTCCCCAAGGGGGCCCAATGTGACCTGCCCGTGGAGTCCATGGGGTCCGATAGTTCGTGGGTGGTGATGAGGGAGGAGTGTAGTGTGGTTTCCACAGGCCACACCCTCTGAGGAGGTGACTGATAGAAAGCCCCATACTGATTGAGCTTCCTCAAATCACACACTTGCACCAGCAAAGCCACCCTTCTTTGACTATATACTTTTAGGTGAAGACAACCCAGATCCTCTCTTAAACAAATAAAGAATTTGAAAGGGGAAATGTCACTTCTGTGACATACTAGTCCCTGAAAATCTTAGCAGTTCACCATAACTTTGGAGACAGCCAGAAAGGAATATCTCAGAAGTGAGATTTCATCCTTTGAGTTTTGCCAAGAAAGAAAAAGAATTTTGCCTTCAGCTCATATGGTAAGTGCAATGATTATTATCTTAATAGTGGATTGGGAGCTCCTAATATTGGATAACTTGTGATGACTTGTTATCAGCAAAGCTACTGCTTTTTAAAACAAGCATTACCTCATGCTATTTCTGAGAGGCATTGCTGTAATGTTAGCTGCCGTGGAGTCAGCCCCTGGTCGTAGGAACCTCTCTGTGGGTGGATGAGACCATCACCATTCGTAGGGCTTTTGGCAGCTGGTTTCTCAAGAGCCAATCCCCAGCGCCTTTTTCTCCAGTCCGTCTTAGTCTGGAAGCTTGACTGAAACCCATTAAGCACACAAACTTCCACCAGGAGAGACAGATGGTGGTCAAACCAGCCACCATCTCCTTCTAAGGCAAACGTTGTTAGCTGAAAGCAAAAAATAACCAAACGAACAAGGGAATACTGCATGCCAATACTTGCCTAGAAGGTTTCATTGCTCTGAGAGGCTGTGGCTTTTCAACACATTTATAAAACCACTCTAAGAACTGTGGCCTCATCTTTCAAGTTTCCTAGATAGTGACCACTATTCATTTTGAAGTAATTAATTTGTCTTTTTCAAGCCATCAAAATTCTGGCGAATGTAAAACAATGAAAGAATTTTTCTTTTACTTTTCCAAGAGGGTAGTGTATTGCGGGGAGGGGGGGGGTGGAAGGGAGAAAAGTGCAACAATGAATGGATGGAAATCCAAAGTCTCAGTAAATTTTCATTGAAATGAATAAATTTTTTAAAATTCTGGCAAATAAATGTATTCTTGGTTAAAATGGAGTGTAGCTAATAAAATAGTCTGGCATAACTGGACAACTAGCTGTAGAGGAGGGGGCTTCCCAAAGAGGCACCCCAAACACCTGGGCCTAATCTTCACTTGCAGCTGAGAGAATGAGCCTCCATTTTCTTTTCAAGTTTGGAGATACAGACTGACGAGGGCAGGCAAAGAGAGAAAGAGAGAGAAAATCAGCTTCCTCAGTTATACTATTCCATATAAATAAGTAATTGTATAGAATGTATCCATTTATTTTTATCCCCTAGACTTTTTCTATTGATTAGGATGTTCTGTTTTTAAGACAATTAATTAAGTTCTGTTTAAGAACTGAGATGCTTGGCTTCCTTTATTAGTATGTTAAAAAGGAAGTTGTCCCCTCACTTTAGGCCGGCCTTGTCCACAATATGACCCCAGTGGTTGCTCTGTTTCCCAATACGTTCTAAAGAAGATCTAAACTCGCCTGGGTTGTCTCCCTAACTAAGATAGAGGGCTCACACAGTTCTCTGTGTTTTCCACAAAGCTTCCTGTCTGAGAGATATTCTGTAAAAGGGCTGTTGCTGGGTCTTTCAACACCTTAAGGCAGGGCCACCTTCCGACAGAGTGAAGCCCAGCTTTACTCTCCCTTTGTGGACATACCCTGTTTTGAATATTTCTCCGGTGAAAGTCACCTATTGGCATAGTCTTCAGGGAGCTGTGCTGCTAACCCAGAGGCTACAGTTCTCTGATGGTTCAAGATCATCAGCCACTTCTCAGGAGAAAAATGGGCAATCTCCTCCCGAGAGCTTTACAGCCTTTGAAATCCACTGGAGAGTTACAACATGGTTCTACCTCAACTGCAGTGAGTGAAAGGGAGCGAGTGACTCATTTCTCTGACTCACTTCAAGCTGGGCAGTTTACCCATGGTAGACACAGGGGCAGCTTTTAAATATGTATTTTATTATTTCTTTGGGTTTTGAGATAATTAAAATAAGTCCAGAACTGTATGTGGTGCAGGAGTTTGGGTATTTAGATCCAATATTAAATCACTGAATTAGTGCCGTTTGTGAACGGACAGCTGAATTGTCTTCTACTCGTGTGTTTGGGTGGGAGGCCAGGGGTGCCCAGGATTTATTTCATTCTAAATGTTTTGTTTTCCTTTTCCTCCTAAGCCTCTGAAATCATGGGTCACACACTGATTCGGGAAACACCATTAGCCCAGGGACCACACCTCAAGCTCTTTCCGGTTCTAGTGTTGGCTGGGTTTTTTAATTTCTGTTCAGGTAAGCAACTTTCAGAAATATACTTGTGTTCACTGCTATGGGGTTAAGAGAAAGCAGATGGTGTTCCTAGGAATGCCCTGTGGACTGAAAGGGATCTTTTTTTTTTGTTTTAATTTTTTATGTGTGTACCGTCAAATCGGATCTGATTGGTACAGGAGGAGATTGTCCCTCCATCTTCAGCACAGCATCTGGTGGATTCAAACTGCACACCTCTGGGATTGGGGTGTAGCTTTGAAAGGGAATTTTAAGATGTTTCCAGTCTGCTTTAGGGATTCAGAGTCTGAGACCCAGAGAGGTTAAAATACTATAGCATATACAAGTAGGCAGCTAATTTGGTTTAAGAACCCAGATTTTAAGTGTTGGGGCAGGACAGGGCAGGCTGTGTTATGTTTAATAAACCTATAAAACAGGTTTAGAAGATCAGTTTAGAGTTATAGGGTCTTCATGAAAAAACAAGGTGCTGATTTACATTTGTGGTGTGTTAAGGATGTTGGTAGCCCAGTGGTTAAGGGCTCAGCTGCTGACAAAAATATCAGTGGTTTGAACCCACCAGGCCTGTCATAGGAGAGGGGTGAGGTGGTCTATTTCCATGAAGATTTGAAAACCTGAAGAGATGATTTCACTCTGTCCTGTAGGGTCTCTATGGGCCACAGTTTCAAAATAGCACACAGCCACAAGGGAGCTCTGGTGGCCTAGGCTACTGGAAGTTGTGGCTCTTGTTTGGTGGTCTGCATCCATCAGCAGTTCCATGGGAGAAAGATGAACACTTCCCTCCTGTGCAATTGACAGCCTCCCAAAACTGGCTGGCTGGAAGGGCAGCTAGGAGTTGGTTCCAATTTAACAGCCATGACAGACACACAACAAGGGTGTTGTCCGAGGGATCTGACTTTATAAATTATGTGTCTCTGGAGCAACTCCGCTCAATTGCTACCTGTTCTACCTGTAAAATTGAACAATGATGACCTTCTTTGTAAATTGAAGAGAAAAAAGCTGGTACTTGGAGAGTATCATTTTCCCTTTTAAACTTTCACTCTCGGGTTTTTATTTTCAAAAAAAGTTCAAACCAACAGAAAGTTAATAGTGCACGAACACCTGTTCACACTTCATCTGGAAGCACTTAGGAGCATTAGGCCCTGGGCAACCAATATAATTTTCTTGATATTAAGTTTTCCTTTTAATACTTGTTTTTATGATTTGGGTGCTAATATCCTTTGTCAATGCTGGTATCTAACAATTAATGGTGTCAAATTTTACTACATAGATATTTCAAGTACGTCCTGCAAAGAACATTTTTCCTTCTAGAGGCTTTTCCCCCAACTCTAGTGGGCTTCTTGTTGTTGTTATATGCCATTTAGTCAAGTATGACTCACAGCAACACAGTGAACAGCAGATCTGCATGAACCCTGTGCTATCCTATGCCATCCTTATTATCTCTGTCACACTTGAGCCCAGTCCTGCATTCATTGTGTTAATCCCTCTCATTGAGAGTCGTCTTCTCTTTTGCTGACCCTCCACCTTTCCAAGAATGATGTCCCTGTCCTAACAACACGACTAAAGTGTGGGCGATGACATTCCACCATACTTACCTCTAAGGAACATACATGCTGGCTGCACTTTCTCTAAGACATATCTGTTTATTCTTTTGTCAGTCCATGGAGCATTCAGTATTCTCCTCCAACATCACAGCTCAAAGCCATTGATTCTTCTGTAATCTTTATTCATTGTCCAGCCCTCAGTTGCATAGTAGGTGATTCAAAAGACCATGACTTAAGGGTCCCAAATTTAGAGGACTCTCAGATCTGGTGGCCTAGTGGTACAAAGCAGCAATGCAATCCCAAAGACAAGTGGTTCGAATCTGACAGTTGCTCCGCAGGAGAAGGAAGGGCAATCTTCTCCAAAGTGATTTACTGTCTCTGAAAACCTGCTGGAGGGTCAGATATGGGTTGGTTCTGACTCCATGGTACAGAAGAACAACAAGGAGTGTGAGGCCCCCTGCTGGGATGATAGTGAGGTGGGATGATGATGATGATGATGATGATGATGATGATGATGTTGATGATGATGATTTATTTGTGGCTACCGACTGAGTCTTCACTTTGGAGGCTCATGAGGGAAGCCATTGGATTTTGGATTTTGGAAGATGGTTTCTTCTTGTTTTGGTTGAAAGTCAGGTGTGGACTATTTGATTGTTTCCATTTTGCTCACAGCCGCGTATGAGCTGCTTGGATTTGCTGGATTCAGCTAACAACGAGCTGTTGGCTGGAAGCCTCTTGTTTAGAGTCAGTCAAGGCCTACGGTATGGGCCTGTATATTGAAAAGTTTTCATTAGTTTTGTGTTTAGAATGAACATTCTTCTAAGTGGTTCAGCACTGGTCTGTCAATTTGTTATACTGAGGTAACTTGGGGTTGCTTTGATACTGAACGTTGTACCACTAGTGTGTCAAATGCCACAATGGTCACCCATGGTGGACAGTATTTGGTTGAGCTCCCAAATTAAGGCAGGCTTGGAAGCAGGAGTGGCATCCACTTCCTAAACAACATGCCTGCAAAAACTCTATGAACTTAGAGAAATTACAACAGTTATAAAATAGGATTCAGGCCTTTTGTTCATTGA